TACCTTCCCTCCTGCACTGCTCACTGTCTCTCAGCCCCCAAATCCACACTGTGGTCAAGACCCGTCCATTTCACCACCCTGGTACAGGCCTTCAGCACCTCACACCTGGACCGCTGGAGGTCTGCTGCCTCCAGTCCGTCCTGTATTCAGCCACTCACATGATTTTCCTAAAGTGCAGGTGCCCCTGTGTGGCTCCTCATATAATTAGGTTAGGTTGCTAAAAGCCAGGCACCAAGATGAGGTTTGTTCCTCCCAAGTCTAGTGCTCTCCCCATTCCAAGGGAAGCTTCCAGGGGCAGCTAGGTGGTACAGTGGACAGAGCACCGGCCCTGGAGTCAGGAGGACCTGAATCCAAATCCGACTTCAGATGCTTGACACTTACTAGCTGTGTGACCCTGGGCAAGTCACTTACCCCCAATTGCCTCACCAAAAAAACAAAACAAAACAGAACACCAATGGAAGCTTCCATTTCACTGACTTTAAAGTATGTTCCAGCCCCATTGGGACTTTTCTGCTAAACATCAGCAAGTCTGATCAGCACGTGGTTACCCCTTGTTCCCCCTTTAGGTGCTGTATCCAGTGTGCCATGTGCGAAACCTAATGCTCTGGAGTGCCGTGTACCTCCCGTGTCCCTCCCCTTCCACACCTGCCGATGATACCTGTGCTCCATACCCAGTCCCTGGTGCCAGTCCTGAAGATCAGCCTCTGAGTAGGTGAGCCATTGGCCCTGACAGCCTGGGCCGTCAGGCCAGTGTGTAGTTGTGGATGTGAACGTAGAAAGAGGGAGTGGGGATGACATGGGACACCTGAGGCTTGTTGGGGGCCTGGAAGCATCCTCAACTTTCAGAATACTGCAGAAATACCAAGAGAGTTTTCAGATTCATTGTGAAACAATTTAAACAAAGTTGTTTCTGGATGTCTTACTCCCTCAGAAGTTTTCAGACCTCATAGTGCTGTGTGGCCAACTGATTCCTGAATGACTCTTGCTGCATGTCGGTAATGTTCACATGCACACCCGTGCGCATGCACACACGCATGTCCATTTGGGTTTGAGAGGCAGGTGCAGTATTTGAAGTTCAGAAGTTTGTCATGGGCACCCAAGTTCATTCAGATCTCGTCACAGTTGTAGAGCACTGAATTTGTCTGTCCAGACGTCTTTCCGAGCTCACACTCCTGCTTTTCTTTCTCACTGGCCCATCAGTATCACACAACTAGACCATCAGGGCTGTTTCTCAAGAGCACTGGAGGGTTGAGGGTGAGTGAGGATCCCTGCAGTCAAGGGCTTGCCAGACAAGCCCTCAGGAGGCCCCAGACCCTCATCCCATTGTCCACGCAGCCCCCGCCTCTGGTGCTGCTGGAATGCACTCAGGGGAACGATAGTGACCATCAGTCACGATTGCCTCTTCATGTCCTTACAGAGATCCTCTTAGTGAGCTTCTAATCTCCACTCACTCTCCCTTCCCAGGCTACCAAAGACACGGTCGTTTGACAACCTGACGACAGTCTGCGACAGCAGCGTGCCTCCAACCAGTCGGCGCAGCAGCGACCCCAGCCTCAACGAGAGGTGGCAAGAACATCGGCGCTCCCTGGAGTTGAGTGGCCTGGGCAGCCCCGGGGAGGAGCCCTGTGATGGGGACAGTTTGGGCAGACAGGCCAAGGCCTTGGGGGGAGCTGAACTTTCAGTCGCCGCTGGCGTAGCAGAAGGGCAGATGGAAAACATCCTGCAGGAGGCCACTAAAGAGGATGGGGGGCTGGAGGAAGCCCCCCTGAGGAGTAGCACTGAGGGGACGGAGACCAAAGAGGAGGCTCTCCTAGATAAGAAGAGCCAGCGGGAGGACACGGAGCTCTATAAGAAACCAGAGATGGCCCTGGCGGCTCTGATGACTTCTCCAGGAAACAGCACACATCAGCTGTTGGCAGGTTTCCCTGGGCACCCCGATGAGCCCAGGGCTCTGCTGAGCCATAGCCAGGAGCCCCCTAAGAAGGACAGCCTGCTGGAGGGGCCTGGGGAAGTGCCTGGGAACAGCAATGTGGATACAAACAGCCATCAAGCCCCACTGCCCCCCGAGATTTCTTGTGGCATCTCCCTGCCCCCGGCAATCCCACCGGGAGCAAGACCGTCCGCTGTGGAAAGCTCTGTGGAAACGGTAACAGAAGGAGAGGCCAGAGTAGAGCAGCTCCCCGAAGGTCCTGGTCACAGACCTCGCCTCCTGGACAGCGGGGATGATGAGCTTTCTCGAGCCGATGGGGAGCACCTGGTGGACAGGGCCAGGGCGGGATCCAAAGTGCCCAGGACTTCACACAGCCCAATGCCTTCTTCCTGTGCCTTGCCCTTAGCTGAATGTAAAGAGGAGATTGTCTGTAACGGAGACCTGGAGATGGAGAACACGGCCACAGAGAACCCTGTGGGGCTGACAGTGCCCCAGAGATACCCTGCCCCGAATGGACACTGTCTGGATGGAGAGCGCGGGCGGGTCAAGGGGCCCTGGAGCCGCCGGGTGTCTGCTGCAAGCGCCAGCTCCACCCAGCTCCCCTTGCGGAGCGCACACCCCAAGTGGCTGCAGGGCCAGCCGGGCAGGCAGCTGGCGGCCGGCAGCCCAGAGCAGCCCGCTCGCAGTCACCTGGACGACGACGGCATGCCCGTCTACACGGACGCCATCCAGCAGCGCTTGCGCCAGATCGAAACGGGCCACCAGCAGGAAGTGGAGACCTTGAAGAAGCAGGTGCAGGAGCTGAGGAGCCGCCTGGAGAGTCAGTACCTGAACAGTTCCCTGCGCTTCAATGGGGACTTTGGGGATGAAGTGGTGAGTATGGTGGGCCTCATCAGGCGCCGCCGCCTACAGAGACTGGGCTCCGGCCCCAGGGCCTGGCGCCTGTCCTGTTCAGAGTTGGGGGATTGGTGAGGAGCCGCGGCGGCAGCTTGGTTCCTGAAGGGGCTCTCCTCAAGGCAGGTTTTGAGGGGAAGGCCGCAAGGGAGTGAGGGCCAAGGAGGCCTCCAGCTGGCCTGTGCCGGGGCTGCCGCAGTCACATCCGTCCGTCGGCTCGTTCTGCTCCATCCTGTGTGCATCTCTGGGGGTGGGTGTTCTTTGAGTGGGGCTTGAAGACAGCCAGAGTCATTGCATGCGCAGATGTCTCCTGAGGCAGAACTGTGCGTGCTCAGAAGGACTGGCGCTCCTGGAGAAAAATGTAGTTTGTGGGGCCAGCACCGCGTAGTCTTGCTAAGGAGGAAGGCATTCATTCAGTGTGCTCGCTGTCCCCTGCCCAGGTGATCACACTGTGTCACCTGTGAGGAGGGAGGAGCCAGAGCGCCCCGCCCTGCCCTGGCTCTGGTGAACAAGAGGGCCTGGCTCTGGGATCGTAAGCACGCGTTCATTAAAGGCGGGTTTGTCCAACATTTCCAAGTGAAAGTGACTTTTCAGTCTTTGTCTCATGTTGACGGATTTTCATTTTCCCAAGGCTCCCTCAGAGAAAGGAGGTCAGGCACAAAGCACTCGGTTTGATTTAGGCCTGGATACTTTGGCTATGGCTCCAGCTATAGCTCGCCCAGAGGCTCATGCCCCCTGTGAACACAACTCCACCCTCCCTTCCCACTCCAGCTCCACCCTCCCAAGGGAGATCACACTCATTGAGGGTTGCCTCGGCCCAGAAGCAAAGCTCACTGAACACTTAGCTGTCCTGGCCCCCCTGCTCCTTCTCTAAGCCTCCCACAGGGCGGTGACCCACACACCATTTAACTGGTGCTTCCAGAGGTCAGCAGCCCCCAGAGCAAGTGCATCTTGGCCCCCAGCTCCCCTCGTTGACCCTGCACCTTCCTTGTTCCCGGGGGAGGAGGGACCGGTTCGTTCTGTTCAGCTGTGTTTGTTTGCCAACAGACCTCAATCCCCGACTCGGAAAGCAATGTGGATCAGAGCTGCTTGTCTTGCTGCAGCACAGAGATTTTCTCTGAAGCCAGCTGGGAGCAGGTGGATAAACAGGACACAGAGGTACAGACTCACTCCCTGTGCTGCTAACCGTCGAGCTGTTTGTGATCTCCCCAGCCCCCTTCCGTTAGGACAGGACCCCCTGGCACAGCACGGCACCACTCGGGCACCTCGGCTCTGTGCCTTCAGCTACCAGCTTTCTAGCTCCACACGCCCTCTGAGAATCAGCAGCACGCACCCACACGCCAGGCACTCATTGTCATGGGCCCACTCGGGCCCCAGGCTGGAGTAGGGAACCGGGGAGCTCTTGGCTACTTCTTTTCTCTGAGGGGAATTTGGTGGAGATGGTTTGGACGCCTTTCCTTTATTGATGACTCCAAATCTCTCAAGTCGGAGCCGAAGGAAGCAGCATCAACCCTTCCTCTCCTTTGCCTTGGCTTGGCCCTCTCAGGCCAGACGCCAGCGTCCCTCGGCTAACCTGCCTCTGTCTTTGTCCCACAGATGACCCGCTGGCTCCCTGACCACCTGGCCGCTCACTGCTATGGTTGCGACAGTGCCTTCTGGCTTGCCAGCAGGAAGCACCACTGCAGGTAACCACTGCCACCCTGCCCTGGACCCCCCCGGGTGCCCACGCCCCTTTGGCGTGCGCTGGCTGGGTTTTGCAGAGTGGCCCCTGCACCCACTCAGAGCCTCTGCTTCCGTGAAATCGGGATCATGCACCGTATGTGTGCCCCACCTCGGTCACACCAACTTCCTGTGGATTTTAAAATCATGCAACGGCCCTCTTTGTTTCCTTACCAAGTGAAAAAAATGAGAACCACCGTCCGTCTTCCTCCTTCCCCTGCTTTCTAGTATAAAATCCCTTCCTCCTTTGTACTGCCACCGCACTTCCTTCTGTGGTCAGGAGGCTCAGGTACCAGCCGCCCCTTCCCCCTTTGCTCAGCATCAAGGGAGCAGAGAGCTATCCCCAGGGAGCCATGGAGAGACCCTTTGCAGGATGTCCCCGCTTCCTTCCTCCTGCTGGATTCTGGGCCTTTTCCTCCAGGCCAGATTGTGTCTTTGCTAAGTTTCTGGGCTTCGGAGGGTTGTTGTGGACTCTGTTCTTTGCCTCTGTGTTTGAGATTGCTCTGCTGTTGCTCTTTTGTTTCCCTTCCTGAACACATTAAAAGATGAAAGTTGCTCAGAGAGAACAGAAGAGGCTGGGTTTTCTCCCTATGACCTCAGCACACGCCTCTCCCCGCCCCGGGGACCTGAGCAGCCACATGGATTCCCTGGCCTTTAGTCCTCCTACCTACTGATTGTGGACACAGAGGAGTGAAATCTGAATGCTCCCTTAGAGCATCCGTGGAGTCTAGGACAAACTGGAAGGAACTTAGGACATGTAATGGTAGGAGGCAAAGGTCCCATAGTCAAGAAACATGACTCTTTGAGGGCCCACATTATATCTGATAGCGTGCAAAGCATGGAATGTTAGAGGTGAGCAGGACATAGGTGAGAGCCTAGAGCATTAGGGGTTCATGGGACCCTCTAGGACAGAGGGGGTTCCTTGGCCCCTAGAGGGAGAGTGACCTGGCTAAAGTCAGACAGCCATTTAGAGGCAGAGACTAGACAGCAGCCCAGGTGTCCTTGCCATCATGCCCCACATGGCCCCTCAGGATTTCTTTCCTGCCCCTGCCTTCTGCTCCTTCTCACTCAGCTTGGCCAGCTAGCTCTGAGCCCGAGAGGAGAGAGATACTCAGGAGCTGAAGGTTTCTTTCTCGGGATTATCATCCTTTAAAGACCTAATGACCAAGTCGGTCTGTGATTGGCTTGAGCAGGTTGGCTGGAATAATCCAAAAAGAGTGGGAGAAGCCACTCGGCCCCTCAAGGTGACCACAGTGGTCAAAGGACTGATGCTCTTTTGGAACTGGAAAATTCCATGAGCAGCAGTGGTTAGCTTCCCTGCAGGAGCAAAGCCAGCTCTGAAAGCCTCTGGCCACAGGGCTCCGGAGTGTTATCAGCCCCAAGTACCCCCTTCTCTGGGGCTTTCCGCAGCATCCCCATTGAGCTGTTTCTCCCCTCCTTGCAGGGACACTGACCGTGTTGATCCAATGTGGTGAGCATTTACAACAGCCTGTCTGTGATGTCTTGCATTTCTCTGATAACTTCTCCAAACTAACTCTTTTTCGATTCTCCCTCTTTCTCTCTCTCTCCACTCACCAAGACGTGAGCCCGGGGATTGGGGTAGTTTAGGCCAGCAGGTGCAGAAATGGAGGAAAACCAGAGCACGTCCCTCTCTCAGGAGAATGGCATTTAGGATTCAGTCGGGCTGTTGCTGTGTAATTCACTTTACAGGTCAGTCCGTGACATCTCTGATCAGGGAAGAGCATTTCCTGGCTCATTTTGTTAGGGCCTTGGCAGCCTAAAGGATATAGCCCCCTAGGCTTTTGGGTGTCAGACGTGGACACTGCAGGTGACTTCTGGCCAAGTAGAAACAGTCATTGTGACTTGGGAGCTGCCTTGTGAGGGGCCCAGGCGACCGGGCCAGGCTGGATGGAGAGCATCCTCCGCCCCACCCACTCAGAGCAGACTTGCTCACTTAGCCCCAAGGAGGCAGCTCCAGTGTCTGGGGGGTCTCTGAGCTGAGATCCAGCCAATCTCATGCAGGTTCCTGAATTTACACAAAATAGCAGAAGACCACGTCGCAGTAGATTCAGGCCGTCTCTCTACAGAACTGCTGGCCAAGGGTAGCAGCAGCTCTTACTGACTCATGCTTCTTGGGAGCAGAGTTACACAACAGAGCCCTTTCCCCTTCACTCCTCTGCATTCTGCTGTTTGTCCTTGTGTCTCTTCCCCTACCCCCAGACCACATCCCTTCCCTTCACTGACCTTCCTGGTCTTTAGGAAGAACAGCCTATCAGACAGAATTGCCCTGCCCCGGTGTGTGGCTGAAAGGGATGGAGGGGAGTGAGCCAGGTTGGAAAGCCGGCCTTCTCTTGTAACCGGAGGCTGGCCCTCTCCTGGGAACTAGCTCAGGGCAAACTGTTTTTGTGGCAGTGACCGACCCCCTTGGGTGCCTCTCCCAGTTGGGCTTGGTGGGACTGACCTCAGTCATAGGACTCTCCAGGCTTTGGGGCTGAAAAGGGAGCCTGGAGAGTAAGTCTGACCCCTGAGGCCAGAGGGAGGGAGAGACTCGGTCAGTGAGCAGGCAGTGGGTCCTTCCGGGGCCCTACACTTCAGGGCTCATCAGGCAGGGAGAGGAAGGGAGTCAGCATCAGGAGTCACCATATCCATAGCGGGAAAGGCCCCTGAGCCTTCCTCAGGCACGTTTGAAAGAGGAAGAAAGAAATCCTGGGCACACTCTGAGGTTGTCTGAACCCTGTGTTTCGCCAGAGGTGCATGAGCTCTGAGCGCCTCAGCCGACTGACAGCTAATTGTGGGGCAGGGGGTGTTCCCTCTAGCCATTCCTTGTCCTTTTGCATTCCTCCCCTCACACTCTGAGCATGCGACACACGGCTTCTCACCCTGTGGCTTTGCATGATTCCAGATTGCCCCCCCCCCCATCACTGCCCTCCTCAGCCCACAGGGATTGGAGTGAGGCTGTTCCACCCGACTTGGGTCTATCTCAGTATCGTAGGGGCAAAAAAAGCACGCACATGTGTGCGTGCGCACATGTGCTTGTGCGTGCACGCATGCATGCGTGTGTGCGTGTGCTTGTGTTCCCCCTGTCGAGGTGGTAATGGCCTCAGTGTTTCTCATGGGCCCAATGCTGCTGACTCTGGCTCTGGGCATAGCCCAGCCCTCAGCCAGCATCCGCCCCTTCAGCTTGGTGCCATGGGGTGTCGGTGCCAGCATCTCCTGTTTCCTCAGCTCAGCAGCTCCCCCAGAGCCCCAGGTGAATGTGCTGCATTTGGGTTCTTCTTTCTTTCACACCCAGCCATCATTAATGATGTCACTTATTTCTTGTGTCTCTCCCTTTCCAACTCAAGGAACTGTGGGAATGTTTTCTGCTCCAGCTGCTGCAACCAGAAGGTGCCGGTTCCCAGTCAGCAGCTCTTCGAGCCCAGTCGAGTCTGCAAGTCTTGCTATCACAGCCTGCACCCCACAAGCTCCAGCCTGGACCTCGAACTGGAGAAACCCATTGCTGCCACTTCAAACTGAAGCTTCTGCCTGTCGGGGGCCAGGCCAGCTGCCCCCCTGGGGAACCCCGCACACACTGGGTACCCTGAGGAGGTCCTGTGGCCCACGCACTTTGGAGTGGCGGGCGAGGAACCACCTGCTCTGAGGGACAGAGCTCTAGGGCATCTTGCTGGGGTGGAGGATCCCTCCCCTTTCCCCCTGCCCCCTCTGCCTCTCCACCCTCTGATTTGTGTTTGGGCTTTGGTTTTGCTGGATAACGGGAGGTTGCAAAGGGGGTGAGGCCTAGGATCAGGCCCCTGTTGCTCTTAGCTTCCCCACTGTTGGTCTGTACTGCAGAGCTGGCTTGGTTTGGAATCAGGAGGCTGGAGAAGGGGGAGCCAGGAGCCAAGACCAGAAGCAGTATGCAGAATGCGCTTGCTGATGCTTTCAATCACTCCTCATGCCACCAAACAAGGTAGTGCTGTTTGGGGAAACCTTTGCTGCTAGAAGAAATGGGGAGCTTCGGGCCCATGAGAGCCCATCCCGCCTTCTCTGTTGTTAGCCTGGGCTGAATTAGCCTCCCTTTGCTGACGGGGAGCTCAGAAGCCCATTCCTGTCCTCAGGCAGCTCCCTGTTTTGTAGGGTGCCCTCGTGGCCAAGGCCTGTCACTTGGCTGAGGAAAGTCCCATTTTGACTCCTAAGCCTGCAGACACAGTGAGGAGGCCTAGCAGATGAGCAGATTTTTCCATTCTCCACGTGTGGTTTGTTTGTGCGTTGACCCAGAATGTAGGACCCTTCTTGCTGACAGGGGCCAAGTCTGCAGCTTCTCAGTGCCCACCTCCCTTCACAGCAAGAAGCCACCACCGGGGCTGCCCATTCACATACAATCACGGCTAACACAGGGAGATCTGGACTCAGGGTTCCAAAAGGCCCCAGCTTCCTTTCCTCCCCCCCCGCAAAAAAAAACAATCATGATCTCCCCTCCAGGGTGAAATCAGCCTCTGAAAGTACAAGCTTCCAAGAGTGGAAACCAGACTTCCCATTCCCTTTTTCCTTGGAGAATGGGCTGGGCTTGACTTCGGCCATCAGCAGAAGGAGGGGCTCTATGTGGGACCTCCATCTGGTGCCATTTTTGGCTTCTCAGCAGCAGCGGCAAAATCCATTTGGATTTTGTATCACTAGGGAAACTGCCCAGGACTTGGACAGGAGGTTTTTGGGGAAAAGGGACACAGGAAGTAGGAGCAGAGCGGTGGAGAGCAGCCGAGGTTTGTGTGTGGTGGTTTGTCTTGGTGTCCGTACTTTGCACCCACAGGCTCTCCCTCCCTCTGGGGAAGGAGGACCATGCTTTGTTGGACTCAAAGCTGTCACCAGGTAACAGGGTAGAAGTGTCTGAAGGAGCTCTGGGATCAGGCCCTGTGCAGAGGGCCCGCTGCTCCCCTGGCATCTGCTGGGGCCTTCGGAGGACTTTGCGGCCCTCGCCCCCTCCCGCGGGGCCTGCTGTGGCAGGGCGCCTCCGAGCTGGCAGTGGGGAAGCCGGGGGTGCTCCTCCCCGCACGTCAGCCGGAGGGAAGGTTCTCCCGAAGCTTCGATACGGGTTTCTTGGGTCTGATGTACAGTGTGAATAGATGCTTGCAGCTCGTAGGCCCTCCCCCTTGTTTTTGATCAATGAAGCACTTTTTTATTAATATTATTTTTCTTTGTATGTAAAGGAGGAACTGTAACTCTCCGTAGCTGTACATATCACCCTTCTCTCTTACAGAGGGGGCAGTGCTCCTCTATTTTTCATTTTTTTGTCAAAGCAAGAAGTAAATACTTTAGAATTGTTAAATATATAAATAAAAGTGAATAAAGTTTAGAGTTCCGCATGGTAGCGTTTGCTAACACTTTTGAAGTTTCCTTTCCCCTTGGTTCATCATCTCCTTCTTTTCCCCTCCCCCCATAGACACTGTTGAAGGTGCTGCCCAGAATCCGCCCCCTTTGACTGCCCCCTTTGGCGCCTTGTCCTGAAGCCCTGGCTGTTGCAGGGATTCAGACTCCCTCTGCATCTCTGGTCTCCTCCATCCGAGCAACCCCTGATCTCAAAGCCAGGCAGGGGGGTTTGTCATGTGAGTTCAGGGCTGATTCCCCAGACTCAGCCCAGCACAGGGCAGCCCCGGTGTCCTTCCTACCCAGCAGCATTTCCTGGGGGTGGCAGTGACAAGGGAGGAGAGTCCTGAGGACAGCAGGAAATCAGCTCTCCATTCCTGGTCCCTCCTCGTGTCATGCCCCTGGCTGGGCAAGGAGACCACTCACCCTTCTTAAGCCACCAGGTAATAGCAGGATCCAAGATCTGTGCTTTGTTACTAGGCTGGTAGATTTACCCGACATGATTCCCCCCGCCTTCCCTCCCTAATCACTGATATGTGGTGACCAGTATTGTAAACACAGGAAAATCCCTGTGTTGCGTTGGCCTTTACTCTCCAGGGTCTCAGTGTGAGAGCGATTAATGCCAGGTGCTCTGTGTGCTCTCAAGCAACCTCCCATCCCCCGAGGGAGGGCCTGACTTCCCCAGGCAGACTCTCACCAATGCATTGTGATCACTTGAGGCACTTGGACTTGACCTGTTCCCAGAGCACATGACATGCTTAGGGCCGTGTCACTTTCTGTCCTGAAAGTCAGGGTCACTTGAGAGCCAAAGCAGCCAGGCCTTTGGCCTTTGGCCTTTGGGAGCCGAAAGCTGGCCCAGTTAGGGAAGATGCTATGAATTCCAAGGCTCACTGTCTCATGAGAGGAAACCGGCTCCCGTCCTGGGCCCACAAAGCATGAGTCCATTGAATGGCACATCTGTAACCTGCCAGATGGTTCCTGGCCCCTTTCGTCATTGAGTCTTACCACGTTCTACCAAGCTATGAGTCAGTACTGGCAGGATGGGCTGTTTGGGGGCAGTGAGCGGGTGGAGGATGCTAGAGGTGACCAGAGGTTTGTCTGAGCTATGTGGGGTCTGATTGTGTCACCCCCAGGGACAGCAGCTCTGCTAGGTGCTGCTTAAGATCTTGGGGACAGCCACTTTTCTGGAACTTTCCTGCCGTTTGTCTCCCTCACATTAAGAGTATTTTAAGGGGCAGCTAGGTGGCACAGTGGATAGAGCACCGGCCCTGAAGTCAGGAGGACCTGAGTTCAAATCCGGCCTCAGACCACACACTTGACACTTACTAGCTGTGTGACCTGGGCAAGTCACTTAACCCCAATTGCCTAAAAAATAAAAAAATTTAAAAAAAGAATATTTTAAGGGTTTCCAGGCTTTGTCCCCCAGCCACTGAAGAGTAACCTTAAAGCTGCCTTCTTTGCAGTTGACTAATAGATAAAGGCTTTCTGGAGGGATTTCTAGGATCAAGTCCCTATGTAACCATATCCAGAAACATAAATGTCAGGCAATCAAAAATACTGAGGTTCCTGATGAACACTGAGCGGGCCTGAGAGGAAACGTCATTTAATTTCTGACACAAGAAAATTGAATAGAAATTGGGGGAGAGCTCCAGCCTGAGCTAGAGCACTGGATTTTCCCAGTGCAGATGGGGTTTTTATTGACTTTGCAAGCGTAGGAATAAAAGTGGGGGAGTCTTCCTAGAGCACATCACATCCTCATGGCTTCTTTGATGAGTCACTGGTGCCCAGAGAACAGCCCTGGAGCACGTAAGTGCCTCAGGTGGCCAGAGAGAACTCTGGTCCAGCCCAGGGATGTCTCCTGGACAATCATCTGCCCCTGAGCATCAGTTGGTCAAGCCTCTCCCTCAGCCTCACAGTTGTGTTTGGAACCTGGGGAGGGAGGGCCATGGTGAGACTTCTCCAAGGCTGCCACCGTTCTGCCTGTGGAGGCCCTCAGCTGTTCTTGCAGTGCCCGGGGGTGGGGGTGGGAACAGCGGCAGAGAGACTTGGTTGTATGTATGGTTTGGGGGTGGCCTTAAAGGTTAAGTTTAATTGCTTCAGGATCACTTGAAAGGTTCCTTTTTTTAACAAGACAACCTTGACAACCGGCGAGGCCCAGATGGTGTTCAACAAAGGTGATTTGGTGGTTGTAGTCTTCAGTGCTTACCAGTTACGACAGCTCTGGCCTCAGTCACTATTGACATCCTGATAAATGTGTCATTTTTGTGCGTGACCAGGGCCCCCACTCGTTGGGTGTGTGAACTTTCTGGGCCACCACATTGCTTAGCCATTCAGATTCAAGCTCTGCAGCAGGGAGAAGAATCATTTGGTAGGGAAGGGTCAGTTTCCCACAGGGAGTCACTTAATTATTGCAGAGATACAGAGCTGGCCACATGAATGCAATGACCTTTCTTTGATCTTTTTCTATTCCATAAAATCTAGGGCTAGAGATCAGCCTTTCAAGTCCTTCCGCCATTGAAAGGGGTATAAAGAACTGAGATTACCCCATCCATGTAAAGGGCATGTGTCTTCTTATCCTAAATACTCCCTTGGCCAGAGCTGAAAGAGTAGCATTTGGGAGACGGATGCTTTGTCCTAGAATCAGCAGGTCTCCAGAGAAGGTGGGATGGTCTCGCCCAAGGTCATGGAGCTACTTAGAGCTGGGGCAAGAAACCAGGTCTTCAGATTCTTGGCCAGTTCATGGAATAATAATAATTAGAATAGCATTTCTGTAGCACTTTAACATTTGTAAAGGGCTTTACTTATCTCATCCGATCCTCAGAATGACCCTAAACAGTAGGTGCTATACTTACTTAATGACTATACAGTTATCCCCATTTTACAGATGAGGAAGCCAGAGCCCAGAGCAGTTAAGAAGTCAAGCTCAGAGTCACACAGCAAGAGACTGAGATAGGATGGGAACTCAGATATTCCCGGCTCTAAGCCCAACCCTATGCCCTGTGCCCCTGGTCCCTCTCTTCAAGAATTGGAAGGGCTCTCAGAAGCCGTTAGCTATTGTCTCACTCATACTTAAACAAGGAGGCCCCCATCATCCAGCCTCCCCTCTGAGACCCCCAGGGAGGAGGAAGCCACCCGGGGCCAGGCTGACCCTTATATGTTATGATGAGGAAAGGGAGCTTCTTAGGAATTCTTTGGTCAAGGTTCTGTTTGTCTGCCTTGTGGCCATTCAACATTTGTTTATGGTAGTAAGGCAGATAGCCATGTCCACAGTCCGCATGGGTCAGTGCTCCGTTTCCAGAAGCTACCTTCAGCAGCCCCAGAATTGACTCTGGCTGATTTCCAGATTTTGTTCCTGTCTGGGTTTCCTGAATGTAGTGAAAGAATAACGTGTGCAAGCATCCCAGGTAACATACGTGTTAGGCACAGGACAGCCTGTTTCTTTTGAAAGGATAAGGAAATGTTTGGCTCGTCTGAGTGAGGCTGTGTGGCACTTCCAGCTTCCCTGTCCAGTCTCGATCCACAGAGCAAAGTCTGACATTAAAATGGAAATATCCCCTGACAGTTATTTTTTTTTAAATAAATAAAACCACTCACTCTCATCTCTTGCTCAGTTAATAAAGAGTTGTGTTGTCTCCTTATGAGGCATCTAAAGTCAGTGTCATTTTTATGTGGCGACATTTTTAGAGTGTGTGTGTGTGTGTGACTATGTGTGTTACGGCAGCTGGGTGGCACAGTGGATACGGCACCAGGCCTGGAGTCAGGAAGAGCCGAGTTGAAATCCAGCCTCAGACACTTCCTAGCTGGGTGACCCTGGGCAAGTCACTTCATCCTGTTTGCCTCAGTTTCCTCATCTGTCAAATGAGCTGGAGAAGGAAATGGCAAACCACTCCAGTATCTTTGCCAAGAAGACCCCCAACGGGGCCACCAAGAGTCAGACCCATCTGAAACGACTGAATAACAACAAATCTGTGTATACCTACATTATGTGTCTATGTAACATTGCATGCGTATACATAGGTATCTTACTGAACACGAGGAATTCAGCACATTTAATTCATGCTGGTCCTCGAGCATATGGTATGTTTACAGCAGGTCAACTTCGTTTCCCTTCTGTTGAGGGGCCTGACCCGTGGTTAGTCTTTTCTTAGCAGGGAGCCTGGGCGCCTTCCTTTCCTCTGGAAGCAGGGCTTGCCTCGTAGACCAGAGCTAGGTCTCTGCAGACGGCATCGGCCCCATCGCAGCCAGCTCGCTGAGCCGTGTCTAGGGGACAGAGGTCTTGGTCACACCACCTAGGGAAAGAACCTGTTCAGTTGAGGAGTCTCCTATGAGCTGCTCTCAGGGGAGGGCCGAGGCGGCAAAGCTCTCTTTGTTTCTGACTCCTCTTGGAAGTAAATTGCTCTCTGGGCCACGGGCCTACCAAATCAGGGCCAAGTCACCCCCAAATTACGTGGCACCGGGTGACAGGAACAGGAAAGCATTCTTGTTCCAAGCTGACTTGGAACAGTTCATGGGGCTGATCTTTCACCTCTTCCCCAGAATTGACTGGCTGATTTCCAGATTTTGTTCCTGTCTGGGTTTCCTGAATGCAGTGAAAGAATAGCCTGTGCAAGCATCCCAGGTAACATACGTGTTAGGTACAGGACAGCCTGTTTCTTTTGAAAGGACAAAGAAATGGCTCATCTGAGTGAGGCTATGTGGCACTTCAAGGTCAGACCCAGGGAACGATGAGGAAAAGGCTGTCACCAGATTAAATTCCACCGAGTTTTGAGCTGGTGACGGAAGTCTGGGGGGCAAACTTGGTCTGCCTGTTACGTGGGAGGAACTTGGCCAGGCCCAGGAGATGGCGATCCTCTTTACCTCTGTGAAGCATAGACGTCAGAAGGGGAAGCCTCGGCCCAGGCTGCATGCTCTATCAAAAGTGCCCCTGTACAGAGAGCAGAGAACCAAGGAAAGAGTGAATGCTGTTTCATGGCAGTCCCATTCCATTCCCTGGGACTGTGTGATGTACGGCTGAAAGGGGATTTGGGAATCCTCTAAGCCCACCACCTTCTTTTACAGATGAGGAAACAGGCCCAGTGAGGCCACAAGATCATAGAGTTGGAGGGGTCCAGAGGGGGTCACTTAGTTGGACGCTCTCATTTCATGAAAGAGGAAACGGGCTCAGCGAGGTTTTGACTTGGCCAGTGTTACAAGAGTAGGGTTGGCGTTTGAACCAAGGTCTTTGCCTCCAAAGCCATTGTTCTTCCAAGGATACCATGTTGCCCCTGCCCTCCCCAACCGAAATGAGGACATGTGGAAGAAAGGAGGGAACTACCTATATAGATCCTGGCCAGTGTATAGGCCAGGGTCCTGGCCACCATTTCCATGGAGGGGCTGCCCTGCCCTAGGAGTCTCTCCACCTGGCAAGTCAGCCTCCTGAGGGCATCCTGCAGGCGCTGGATGGAAGGAGCCAGCTCTGAGTGGTTGGTAGCAGAGGCCACCTTCTCCTGGGGGGGAAGGACAGACAGGGCATGACAAATCTTATTAATGGACTCCATCAGAACCTGTCCTTGGGTAGCTAGCTCCCGGGGCAAGTAGGGGAGTCCTGCTCTATATAGCCTGTGAGCATCTCAACAATATGGCCTTCCTGCAAAGGAGGCTTACAGTTCCTCAGGCTCTCATGGTTGTAAAGGTGGCTCACCCTGCCCCTCACATGAAGCCAAGTGCCCCGTCTTATTTGATCTGCACAGTCACCCCCATTGTACATGTGATGATAAGAATCCCCCATGAAGGGAAACGATTCCAAGAAATGGCAGAGCTAAGATCCAACCTAGGTCTCTTATTCCAAATCCAGAGCTCTTACCATCTCTAGCTGCCCTGGAGTGAGCCCCCCAGCTTTGTAGACTTCAACTGACAGGCAGGTGACGCAATTCTTTTCTGAACACACCAGTTGACTAGAAGCAGGGACATGCTTGCCTGTGGGGGAGCATCCCCTGCCAGGAAATAACCCCCTTACCTAGAGGATCCCAGGCACCCTCAACTCCGGGGTCCACTGAGACAGGAGGAGGGGGCAGCAGGACTCTGCTGACAAGCTCCCATTAGCACCTCACCTGGACAGATGCTGAGAAGGCCTGTATCACCTGTCCTTGGCTCTTGGCCAGGACATACAGGGCATCTAAGGCAAGGACGTTGGTGGTTCCCTCCCAGATGGTCAGCACCTGCAGAGGGGAGAGCAACCCTTCTCCCTATTGCTGGGGTCTTGGGCCTTGCGGCAGTCAAGGGGGTTTCCTGTCAAGTTGGATTACCTTCCCTCCCCCTATTAGGCCCCTCTGCTGCCTACTGATTCAAAGTCCCAATTCCTGGGGTCCCACTGGTCCCTCCATCCCACTTCTGGCTCTGAGTGCAGCCCAAGAGTCACGACATGGAATTTCCAGTACAAACCCAAGCTGGAGATAAGGAAGTCAGGAACACGGAAGAGCCACTGGATATTTGCACAAACCAGAGGCCTTTGGCACAGGGCTACTGGCTGGTGTCCTTGGAAGTCACTGCCTGGTGTGTTTGGTCTTGGGGCTCCTACCTGTGTGTCCCGAAGAATGCCCGCCAAGCCTGTGTCCTCCATGTAGCCCTGCCCGCCGAAGCATTCCAGCCCCTCAGAGACAACGGCCATTGCCTGTGAGGAGAGGGTCTGGCTGGAAAAAGGCCGCATTTTTTCATCCCACCCTGTTCCCCGGACACTACAGGTTTCTGGGAGCCAATGAAATGCTCCCGGGTGCATCTTGGGACCTAGGGTGACTACTTTGATCACCCTTGTCTGCAGGCAGGAGGCTAGGGGTGGGGAGCTGAGCCCAGAAATTCCGGGATGATCCGAGCTGGAAGGGACCCCAGAGGTCATCAGTGGTGCTCCAAAAGTTGGCCAGTGCTTTTCCTCCCAACAGTGCCACGAGGTAGGTCACAGGATCCTAGATTGAGAGCTGGAAGGGACCTTTGAGGGCACGGAGTCCAACCCCCTTATTTAAAAAGAATATTTATTTTCCATTTTCAACATTTACGTCTACAAATTTTCTCCCCGTCCTTCCTTTCCCCCATACCCAAGAGGCGTGCAATCTGATATAGGCTCTATGTGTACAGTCATATTAAACATATTAACATATTAGTCATTGTAAAGAATTAGAACTAAAGGGAAAAACCATGAGAAAGAACAACAAAAAAAGAGTAAATGGTGTGCTTCGATCTGCATTCAGACTCCATGGTTCTTTGTCCGGATGTGGATGGCATTTTCCATCATGAGACTTTTGGAGATGTCTCAGATCCTTGCATTGCTGAGAAGAGCTAAGTCTATCAAAGTCATCACAGGGGCAGCTAGGTGGCACAGTGTATAGAGCACTGGCCCTGGAGTCAGGAGGACCTGAGTTCAAATGTGGCCTCAGACATATAACACTTACTAGCTGTGTGACCCTGGGCAAGTCACTTAACCCCAATTGCCTCACCAAAAAAACCAAAAAAACAAAAAAATTCTGGTTTGGGGCAGCTAGGTGGTGAAGTAGACAGAGCTCTAGGCTTGGAGTCACAAGGACCTGAGTTCAAATCTGGCCTCAGATCCTTGACACTTACTAGCTGTGTGACCCTGGGCAAGTCACTTAACCCCAATTGCCTCACCAAAAAAAAAAATATATATATATATCATATATATTATATATGATATATATTATATATATCATTTTATATATATATATGATATATATAAATAAAAAAGTCATCACATAACATGGCTGTTACTGTGTACAACGTTCTCCTGGTTCTACTCACTTCACTCAGCATCAGTCCATACAAGTCTTTACAGGTTTTTCTGAAGTCTGCCTGCTCATCATTTCTTATAGCACAATAATATTCCATTACATTCATATACCACAACTTGTTCAGCCATTCCCCAGTTGATGGGCATCCCCTTAATTTCCAATTCTTGGCCACCACAAAAAAAACAAAATGACTGCTATATTTTTTTTTAAGGCAATTGGGGTTAAGTGACTTGCCCAGGGTCACACAGCTAGTAAGTGTCAAGTGTTTGGTCTGAGGCTAGATTTGAACTCAGGTCCTCCTGACTTCACGGCTGGTGCTCTGTTGGATCACTGCGCCACCTAGCTCCCCCTTGCTATAAATATTTTTGTATATGTGGGTCCTTTTCCCGTTTTTATGATCTTTGGGATACAGACCTACTAGTGGTATTGCTGAATCAAAAGGTATGCAGTTTTATAGCCCTTTGGGCATAGTTCCAAACTGCTCTCCAGAATGGTTGGATCAGTTCACAACTCCAGCAACAATGCATTAGTGTTCCAATTTTCCCACATCTCCACCATTTATCATGTTCCTGCATTGTCATGTTGGCTAATCTGATAGGTGTGATGTAGTACCTCAGAGTTGTTTTGATTTGCATTTCTCTAATCAATAGAGATTTAGAGCATTTTTTTAATATGACTATAGATAGCTTTAATTTCCTCATCTGAAAACTGCCTGTTCATGTCCTTTGACCATTTATCAATTGGGGAATGACTTGTATTCTTATAAATTTGAGTAAATTATCTAAAAATGAGGCCTTTATCAGAAACACTGGCTGTAAAAATTGTTTCCCACCTTTCTGCTTCCCTTCTCATTTTCAACCTCCTCATTTTACAGTTGATGAAACAGACCCAGAGAAGTTAAGTGACTTGCCCAAGGTCACGTTGCTAGTAAAGTGTTCGAGGTGGAATTTAAACTTTGAAATTGAGGTAGGTCTTCCTGACTCCAGGTCCAGCACTCTCCATTACACCACATTACGGTTATCCTTTCCACATCACGATTTTCCCCAACACGGTTTTGATATATCATGGGTGGGCATAAGAAATTAGATGGAAATTTTTTTTTTTTTTGGAGTTCTGGTGGAAGCTTCAGACAACAGGCAAAGGAAAACAGACAACACACACAGAAGTTTAGAAACAAATGCATAACATATATGTATAGTATTGTATACTGTACAAATTTTGCAATAAGGTACTGTAAACACCCCATAAAAGAAAAAGAAAAAAAATTCAGACTTCTTCTCTGGTATGAAGGGAGGCCCAAAACATTTTACACAGATTTTCCAGGTTGTGGGAGTGTCACACTGCTAATGCTGGATATGTGGAAGGGATAAGTGTATTCTCATTTTTGAGATATAGGAAACTAAGCCCCATCCAGAGAGGAATGGCTTGCCCAGGGTCACAGGGTCATGGATTGAGAGCTGGAAGGGTCTTTAGAGGTCCCTTACTCAAACCCCCTCTGAAACCCGGAGAGAAGCCAGGTGACATGAGTAATAAGCAGTGGAGTCAGAATTTGAACCCAGGCCCAAATCTAACTTCCTTATTTTATGGGGAAGAAGCAGGCTCAGACAGGGAAGATGACCTAGTTAGGGCTGCACAGTGAGTTAGTGGCAGAGCTCAGGAGGAAACCTGGGGGCCCTAATTCCCAGTAGCCCCTACACCCCCAGGGGTGGCAGAGGGAAAGGAGCTGCCCTGTGGTGGATCCAGAATCCTAAAAGATTGGACCTCAGGCACTTCCTAGCTGTGGTGTGACCTTGGGCAAGTTACTTAACCTCTGTCTGCCTCAGTTTCTTCAGCTGTAAAATGGGTTTAATAATTGCACCTACCTCCCAGGATCATTGTGAGGATCAAATGAGATAATATTTGTAAAGCACTTAGAATAAAGCCAGGCACGCAGTAGGTGCTTAACAAATGCTTGTTCCCTTTGCTTCTCCCCTCCCCTTTCTATAGCACTTTAGAGTTTATAAAACACACCCACAGTTTACAGATTAGGAAACTGAGGCTAAGTGACTTTATCCATGGTTACATAGCTACGTGGTAAAACCAGGACTAGAACCCAGGTCTTCTAGCTTCAAGGCCAGTGCCCTATCACTTTATGTCCCACTGCTTCTGGACTGAGAGAAGAGCATAGGACTGAGAGGAGATGAGGCGTGCTCGGATCAGCCGGGCTCTCACCTGCTTTGCAGTATAGAGCTTGGTCACGGAGTTCAGCAGTCGGAGGAGGTGAGAGTCTCGGGCGCTGGCCAAGTTGGTCTCCTCCAGGCCGAGCAACCTGCCCACCTCCATAACCAGGAGGAAACCACCCCGAGTCTGCACCTGCCGGGCCAGGGAGGAGGAAGGGGGCTGTGGGAAGGAGGGTGGCCCAAGGAGGGATCGACATGGGACTAGCCCTGGCCCCAGAGGCTTGGCAGAGAAACAGCCGCCCAACAATGCTGATTTCTGGCTCACTCCACTCTTCTGCCAGCCCACTTTGGCTTAGCACCCTCCTCCTTCAGACAGCGGGACCCTGCAAGCACTCACTCTCCACCCACCTCCTCTTCTGACAGATGAAGAAACTGAGCCTGGAGAGACTTGATTTTTCCCAGAATTGTGTGGCTAGTTAGCAGCAGAGCTGGGGCTACCCCCCGCCCAGGCTTCCCCTCTTGTAGATCAGTGAGATGACATTCTATGGCTTGGATGGGGGAAGGGGGGCCAGGGTGTGAAGGCTCTCTGTCACTGCCTGTAGTCTTGGTCAGACTGCAGTCCCAGGTTCATCAGCCCTTCCTCTTGGGGGTGGGGGTGCCCTCTCTGCTGGAATGAATGGTGGGGGGCTGGGAGCTGTCTGGAAGGTGTTCTGCTCCTCCTAGGCTGAAAGCAGAGACCTGTGGCATTGGGGCTGCTCTCACCTCCATCCGGGCCAGTGTCTGGGTGTGCAGTGGGTGGTCTTTGATGAACTTTCCAAACGCAAACCTCTGGGTGGCATACTCTCGGGCCATGGTGACCACCCTGGGGAGGAAGATATAGTCAGGTTCCTGTGCATCCTTTACCTTCTCCTTACCCCAGTATGAAGGAGCCAGTACTTCCCATTATCCACTTTGGGCAACAAGGAATAATTAAAAACTCTCTCAACTCACTACAGCCACGGCTAATGCTATCCTACTGTGGTCCAGTCTCCTTCACACTAGGACAGGCTCCCGGTGGTGAGAGAGGAGAGGAGTCAGTTTCTCAAGATGGGGCCAGGTGGGAAAGGGGTGGAATGTATGAGGTCTGCACTCCTATTCACGAATAGGCTTTGTGAGCCTATTCGTCCAGGAGAAGGACAGTGGGATGTCTCTCCTCTTTTCTGGGTGCCCAGCTCCGGCAGGAAAACTTACAGGACAATGTCCTATAGCAAAAAGAATGTTGGGTGTGAATGCAGGCAGGACAAGTTTTTGAATTCTACCTCCTAAGCTTCTAGCTGTGCAACCCCAGACAAATCCCTTTACCTCTCAGAGTAAGTTTTCTTATCTGCAAAATGGGGACAATTACATTTGCTTTGTATTATCTCATGGCTATTGTAAGGAAAGCACCTGTGTGACACTGGGCTACTCACTTCATGTCTCTGTGCCTCAGTTTTCTCATCACTTAAATGGGAGTAATGCTATCAGCTATCAGAGGCAACTAGATGGCTCAGTGGCTAGATCTTTGGGCTTGGCAAATCCAGCTTCAGACACTAGCTTGTGTGACCCTGGGCAAGTCACTTAACCTCCATTTGCCTTAATTCACTGGAGAAGGAAATGGCAAACCCACTCCAGTACTTTTGCCAACCCCGTAAGGGTCACAGAAAGCTGGACCGGACTGGACAACAGTAGCAACGATGCTACCAGCCCTAACTGATTCACGGGGCTGTTGGGAGGGCTGTGCTTTGTTTCCACAGAGGATCAAGATGGGTGTTATTACCATCAGCCAGGGCAAGGCTCAGCAGCTCCAGGCCTTGAGCTCCCCAAAATGGCTTGAAAATCCCCCCTGGGCATGGGAGCCTCTTTTGCTGCCAGACTCACCATCCCTTATCTGCATGCCCCCTTTCTTCCTTGACCCAGCCTTCCCCTGCCTCCTTGACCCTTTCATGGTCTCAGAGAGAGAGGCAGGATTGCCCAAAGGTTTTGAGTTCAGGTCTGGGTGGCATAGCTTTAGAAAAGATGTGGGAGAGTATCTGGAGGAGGGAAGAGGCCAGAAGCCTTTCCTATGAGGAACAGTTGAAGGAATAGGGCACGTGCAGCAGAAGCACAGACCCGGGGGTCCAGAAGAGCCGTCTCCACGTGTTTAAGTTGGCCTGTAGAACTGCAGGGTGCTTGAGGTCACGTGGGTACGAATTAGGGATCTGTCTGGCCTCGGAGGGCAATGAACTCTGGTCCTAGGATCTTAAACTGGGGGAGACAAATTTGTGCTTCATGGTCCCTGAATCTGTCAGGACAGGGGGGCCACCTCTCAGTGGGGGTCTCTCTGCAAGCAGGGACCAGATGACCCCGTAGGGGGCATGGTGTCTTTATGTGCTGTTACTGTATAGATTGGTCTTCTGGTTCTGCTCACTTCACTCTGCATCAGTTCATCCATGTCTTCCCAGGTTTTTCTGAAATCATCTCGCTTCTCATTTCTTATAGCACAATAGTGTTCCATCACACTCCTATCCCACTACTAATTCAGCCTTTCCCCAAAGGATGGGCATCCTCCTATCTCCCAGTTCTTTGCCACCACAAAAACAACTTCTCTGAATATTTTTGTCCACGAGTGTCCTTTACAGCTTTCTTCAATCCCTTTGAGATCTAGGGGATGGCATTGAAGGGATTCCAGTTCAGGTCTGGGTCAGATTGGCAGCCACTGAGGTCCCTGTCTGGCTGTGAGAGTTAGAGATCTTTCGAAAGCCTTTGTCTCCCTTTTCCCTGCCCTGCCCTGTGTCACCGTCTCGTCATTCTGTATCGGATGGCCCTAAAGGGGCCCCATTCCCCATTCACCTCCTCATGAAGCCCACGGCACATATGGCATTGTATATCCGGGTGACGGTCAGCATGTCAGCGATGGTGGCCACTCCCCGGCCCTCCTGGGAGATCTAGAGGCAAGGCAGCTGCCATAAGCAAAGGGCATTTGGGCTCCCTGCACTTGCTACTGAGAGCAAGGTGCCAGGGAGTGGGCACAGCTCCAACCCTGAACCCACCAACACCACAGGGACGGAAGAAACCCTGCTCCAAATGAGATAACCATGTGTAAAACGTCTTACAAACCTTAAAGCACTGTATGATGCTAGCTATAACAATAATTCTCATTATGACCGTCCTATATACATGCTAGCTGTAATTAGTATTATTGAAGCATCATATAAATGCTACTTCTAATAATAATAATTACTAAAGCACTATGTAAATCCTACCAATAATAATAGTTCTCTTGATTAAACACCATATAAATGCTACCTATAATAACAATAATTATTAAAGCACTATATAAATGTTAACTATAATAATAAGTCTCACTATTATTATAGCACTATATAAATGCTACCAATAACAATAATTATCATCATTATCATTTATATAGTGCCTACTATGTGCTAAGCACTTAACAATTATTATTTGATTCTCACAACAGTCCCAGGAGGGAAGTGCTGTTATTATCCCCATTTTACAGTTGAGGAAACTGAGTCAGACTGAGATGAAATGACTTGCCTAGTAAGGGTCTGAGGTCAGATATGACCTCAGGTCTTCCTAACTCCAGGCTGTTGTTATTTGAAGTCAGCCACACCTGGGTTCAAACCCCAGCTCAGCCGCTGACTGCTGGGTGACCTTGGGCCAGTCATTTCACCTCTGTCTTCCTCAGTTCCCCTCAGAGAGGGAGGGGATTTGTCCTGTTCAACGACTTTCAACATCCCTTCCAGTTCTGTACTTGGAATCCTAGAAGTGGCCTGGAATGGGGCAGATGGACAGCCTTCTGAGGGGTCCCATAACCAGCAGAGCCCTCTCCCGCCTCCTCACCAGGTGTGCCCGGGCCCCGTCCAGCAGCACTTCAGCAGTGGCCAGCTGGTGGGTGCCCAGCTTTTCTTTCAGACGTTGCACCTCCAGGCTGTTCGGCCGTCCCTGCTCGTCTTGTGACTTCAGGAAGAAGAGGGACAGCCCCTGGGTCCCCTGTGGCACAGAATCTCCGCATTGGAAGGGACCCTGGTGGCGCTCTAGAAATCCCCGCTACAGCGCACCTGACCAGCACTCACAGAACTTTCGCTTGCAGACCTCTAGAGACAGGCAACTCACCACCTCCTCAGGCAGCCCACCCTACTTAGGACTAGGGTTTGTCCTGTCTCGAGCCTAAACTGGCTTTTGGCCCCTTCCTCACCTCCCCGGGGTTCTACCCTTCATCCATCACGTGGCGGCCCCTTAACTACCTTGAACCAGCACGTCTCCACACCGTGAGCCTGGTCCAAGCAAAGAAAACCCAACTTCCTCACAGACATAGACTGGAATCCCAATAAAGTTGTATATATTCTATGTGGGTTACAGCTGGAGGGAGAGTTGGACACCATGGAGTCCAACCTTTTTTTTTTTTAATGCTGTCACGGAGAGGTTGGGGTGATTTGTCGAAATCTGCACAACGTTTGAGGGCGGACCTGAAGCCTGGGCTCAGAGCAGAGCTGAAAGGGGTCTGCACACCCACCTGCAGCCTTCGGGGGTGGGGCCAATCCCCAGAGCGCAGAGAATCCCGAGGGAGCCCCGCTCTCTTACACCTTGTCCAGAGTGCTGACCTTGGTGACGGATCCTTGGGCGTCCCTGATCCGGGCAAGGGCCAACGTCATGTCAGCGTCTGTCGATGATGTGAACCACTTCAGTCCGAAGAGTTTGTACGTGCCATCTTCCTGCTTGAGGGCCACCGTCTCGGTGCCGTGGGCTGAGGAGAGACACGGACGCGGGGCTGGCCTCCAGCTGCGCCCCCAGAGTCCCTGGGCTCCTCTGCCTTCGCGCCCACTCACCCACGTCAGAGCCTCCCTTGCATTGGGCCATCCACTGGCCAGAACCCCTGAGCTCCTCCGCCTCC